GCTCTGAGTACACCGGTATCTCTTTGCTCTGCCACCAAGCAGACAGACCCAAGTAGTCTTTCGCCTGACATTTCTCAAGGGTGGACCAAATACTTGTCTTCTGTGTCCTCCAAACTTGAAGGAATAAACATCCACATCTCCGAGAAGTGTTCTCGAATCCTTTCTCATAGGTGAGGGAAATGGAAAGTTGCTATGGCCTCCAACAACTTTCTCCAGAGAAATTGTTTTGTCCCTTCTCGTTTCTTCAATTTCAATTCTTTGAGACCCTTGAAGTATATGTGAGTCGCCAAGGGGTCGTTGTCCACCCCCTCTCAAGTCTTATATAGGAGGACTAGTACCTTAGTTTGGAATGTGGAAGAAATGCCACCTGTTGTTTTGGTCTTAATTTGGGGTGGCCTCCCCAAAACTTAGATAGAAGGGATCCCTCCCTAAAATCCTGTTACACGGGCGAGTATGAGATGTTTGTAAACCATGGCCATTAGCCAGAATAAAACTGATTTGCTTTTGCAACCACGTGGATGGAACTGGAGGGTATTATGTTGAGTGAAATAAGTCAAACAGAGAAAGACATGTATCATATGATCTCACTGATATGAGGAATTCTTAATCGCAGGAAACAAACTGAGTGTTGGTGGAGTGGGGGTGGGGTGGGGGGGATGGGGTGACTGGGTGATGGACACTGGGGAGGGTGTGTGCTCTGGTAAGCGCTGTGAATTGTGCAGGACTGTTGAATCTCAGATCTGTACCTCTGAAACAAATAATGCAATATATGTTAGGAAAAAAAGAAGAAGAAGAAGAAGAAGAAGAAGAAGAAGAAGGAGGAGGAGGAGGAGGAGGAGGAGGAGGAGGAGGAGGCGGCAGCGGGAGGGGAAGAATGAGGCGGGGGAAATCGGAGGGGTGGACGAACCATGAGAGACGATGGACTCTGAAAAACAAACAGGGTTCTAGAGGGGAGGGGGGTGGGAGGATGGGTTAGCCTGGTGGTGGGTATTGAGGAGGGCACATTCTGCATGGAGCACTGGGTGTTGTGCACAAACAATGAATCATGGAACACTTCATCTAAAACTAATGATGTAATGTATGGGGATTAACATAAGAATAAAAAAAAATTAAAAAAAAAAGAAAAAAAGGAAAAAAAAAAGAAAAAAACTGATTTGCTTATAGGGATTTAAATGCTTAACCTTGACATACAGAAAGCTAACAATGTTGAGTATCATTTTAAAGACATGAAATCACACAGAAATCAATCAATTAATTCAACAAAAATTACTTACCAGTTCCTAAATGCTGGTATAATCCTAGGTGCTGGATGTGCAAAAACTAAAAATATGGTTCTTTTACTCATGTAATTAACCATCTAGTGAGAGAATTATATGCTGAAATATGTCCAAAAGTAATCATAATACAATTTAGCATCACAATAGAAGGATCTACAAAGACCTAAGGGAGCACAGAAGATGGAGTATGTGAATTTAAGGAAGGCTTCACAAGGGACATTTGAATTGGATCTTGAATGAAGATTAGGGTTTCCCTAGGGAGAAAGGAGGAGAGGGCATTCCAGATACATGATGGTTTGTAAGACAGGGAGAGTTCAGATGGTGTGGTATGGGAACAGTGAAGAAAAGGTGCAGCTGGGACAGAGGCTGGTGTGGTTGTGGGATTTGAATTTGGGAATTGGAAAGACTCTGTTTTATGCCAGAGAGTTTCAACTCCTTCCTGCAGATAATGGGAAGTTATAATTATTGTTATGGTTTTTAAGTGCTTACTTAAAAATATTACACACATGGGGCGCCTGGGCGGCCCAGTTGATTGAATGACCAACCCTTGGTTTTGGCTCAGGTCATGATCTCATGGGTTGTGGGACTGAGCTCTGCATTGGGCTGTGCTCTCAGTGGGGAGTCTGCTTGTGACTCTCCCTCTACCCCCTCCCCACTCGCTCTCTCACTAAAATAAAAAAAAATCTTTAAAAATTATTATACACAAAGAATATATCAATATATAGAGGTGATCATATACATACTGTTTTTTTCCTTTTCCTTTTTCAACTTGGTCCTTTCCATTTCCCCCCTCCCCCATCACATCTTTCCCTCCCCAACTCGTATTAACACTTATTTTGTAACCCTTGTTTTCTCCATGGTTATATAATCATATTCAAGTGTACAGTATGTTATACATATATCCAGTTTCCACACATAGCTCTTTTGGTCATTGTTTGCTTTACAAAAGAATACTTTGCATATTTTTCTGTATATTGCCTTTTTTTTTTAAAGATTTTATTTATTTACTTGAGCGAGAGAGAGAGAGAGAGCATGAGCTGGGGGAGAGGCAGATGGAGAAGAAGAGGCAGACTCCCCGCTGAGCAGGGAGCCTGATGTGGGACTCAATCCCAGGACCCTGAGATCATGTCCTGAGCTGAAGGCAGACACTTAACTGACTGAGCCACCCAGATGCCCCTGTATCTTGCTTTTCTTATTCAACTATTCTTAAAGGAAATGTCTCCAAGCCCACAGGACTAGCTCATTGCAGGTTTTGGTTTTGTTTAGCATGTTTTTAATTAGGGACTGACATGAACAGAATTTTATATCAGAGATATGATGTTAGAGTGGACAATGAGTTAAAAAGAGGGTAGAAACTGGAGGTGGGCAGTAAATTGAGACATTAAGCAGGTAACAAATGATGGGGCCTAAGCCAATGTAGTCATAGTTTTGGCAAGGACATATCTTTAGTACATACAAGCTTGAAAAAGTGAATCACCATATAACACATCTCAATAAAATGCCAATGGCCACCATTGTCTAATTCTAAACTTTTTTGACATTAGATCCTCCAAGTATGCTGCTTAGAGAAACAGGTTCAATATATTTACCATGAGGTTAGTTGGAGTTTTTAGAAAGGAGCATTATTCCTCCATATGCATCCATATTTTTCTACTTCTTCCCTTATTCTGCACACGTTTTCTGCGAAATATTCCTGATCTCAATCATGTTTTGAAACTCAAATGGCTAAATTCATTGTTACTTTGGGTTTAGAATTCATGCTTACATTGTCTTTAAATAACAATATTTTCCATCTTCCAGTAACACTAGAAACTTTCCTTAGGTTTCTCAGTATTGGATGTGATTACACTACTTTTTACCCATATTGCAATTAATTCAATCATGTAATACATTACTAATGCCAACTAGTGGCCTTAGCATATTATAATATACATTTTCACAAGATCTATATATATAAATGTCTTATCAACATCAAAACTGGGTAAATATTTCATTGGAATGTCCAATGTATGATTACCAGTCTTGTTAAACAATTACGGTTATTCTGCAAATACATACCCCATTTATCATAACCATGACAAAGATAAGATGAACTACTCCAACCTCCTGAACCCAAGTGTAGTTAGGATGTAGGATGTAGGATTCTAGTAATTTGTTTTAAAAATTAAAAAATGTAAATGTTTCAGAAAAATACATAGAATAGTAGAATACCCATTTTCATAACTGACAATTGTTAAAATTTTGTTATCTCTCTTCTCCATTCATTACCAGTCTCAGTCTCATTCTACTCTTCCTGCCTCCACAGGAACTGTCTTTTATGAACTTGGTGTGCATCTTTCTAGTTCATTTTTATCTCATATATGTATATGTACCATAAATAATTTATAGCTTTTCTGTTTTGAAGGGTTTAACCTTAGTTACATCACTACATTTATCCTTTTTTTACCTTCCTTTTTCATTCAGTATTATTATTATTATTTTTAAAGATTTTATTTATTTATTTGACACAGCGAGAGAGAGAACACAAGCAGGGCTAGTGGGAGAGGGAGAAGCAGGCTTCCCGCTGAGCAGGGAGCCTAATGCGGGTCTCAATCCTAGGACCCTGGCATTATGACCTGAGCCGAAGGCAGACGCTTAACAACTGAGCCATCCAGGCTTTTTTTTTTTTTAAGAAGTACTTATGTATAGTTAAATCTATTTTGGTAGTATAAGTAGTACCACAGGGGTTATGCATGTTCATGTCTCTATGGACATATATATAAAGTTGTCCTTTACCGATGTTATGGCCTGAATGTTTGTGTTCCCTTCCTTTCCAAATCATGTTGAAGCCCTAACCCCCAATGTGTTGGTGTTGGGAGATGGGGTCTTTGGAGGTATTTAGGGTTAGATTAAGTCATGAAGGTGGGGTCCCCATTATGGGATTAGTGCCCTTTTCGGAAGAGGAATAGATAAAGGAGCTCTTGCTCTTCCCTGGAGAACAAAGAGGTCGTGTGAGCACACAGCCAGATGCTGGCTGCTTGTAAGCCAGAATAGGGCCCTTACCAAGAACTGAATTCTGGTATCTCATTTCCCACCGTTGCCCCCCACCCCGCTTTATTGAGATATAATTGACATATAACATTGTATAAGTTTAAGGTGTGTGTTGTGTTGATTTGATATGCTTATATATTGGAAAATGATCACCACAGTGGCATGAGTTAAGACTTTCATTGCCTGACATAAAAATGGTATCTTATTATTTAAATTCGCATTTTCTCATTACTGATGAATGAATGAATGAATGAATGAATGAATGAATTTAATATTTGTGGATTTAAAATTCTAAATAGAAACATTGATCTGATGTTATAAGATGAAATGAAAATTGAAATTTACTAGAGAATGAATCCACAAAGTTGGCATACCATCATTTATCCTAATAACATTTAGATTTCTCAGTTTTCTAGGTGGTAAGTATTATTTAGTTAAACTTGTACAGTCAGTATTTAATACAGCAGTAATATTTTAAAGCTCAACTTAGGGAAGAGAACCTGTATTTAAGGCAGAGGGCTATTTGGTTATGAAATAGCAAAATCATAATCAGTTTTAAAGGCAACTGACAAAAATAAAGGCATAAGAAGAGATTAATTTAGTTTCTTCTTTTGAGCAATTTGTTTGAGTTTATATAAGTTCTTAATCAGCCATACCTTCCAAATTTGAATAACTCTTTGTGTGGTTATAAAGGAGAATTAAAATGAGAATGAAAAATACTGGTCTCAAGTGGTAACTGAGTACATCTGCATGAAGTCTTTGCTTTCCTGCTTACCACACAACCGACGGAAACAGGGACTGGAAAAAAAATGACCATTTAAAAATAGTTTACATTCTATGAAGAATGCCTTGGATGTACAGAAATAAGGTATGATTTGAAATGGCATTTAAGCTGCCCTTTAAATAATAGTTAATTTCCTTTTAAATGAAGCTTTTGGTTTAAGAGAAGAAATTTTTGCTCCCATGAAATAAAAAGAGCCTGGGGAGAGTATAGGAAGTGCAGGGTGGTCCATAAAAATAATGGATCACTAAAATGCAAAATGGGACCCATTTTTCATGGGATCTGTACAAAATTTGTTGATTTCTAGAATAGAGTATTTCTCCCATAATAGAAAAACTAAACCTTTGTAGGGGGAGACTGGTGATATTTTGATTGATTTTGAATTTTAGAGAGGCATCATGAATGAGAAAGAAGTGAAAGAAGGAAGGGAGGAAAGAAGGGAGGGGAGGAGGAATACATTCTGGGATTTGGGGCACTGGAATGACCTAGGTTCAAACTCTGGTTCTATCATTAATTTTTTGAGGAAGTCACTTAAACACCCTAGGTTTTGTTTCCTTCATATAAAAAGTAGAGAAACCAATACATATCTTTTTTTTAATTATTATTATGTTATGTTAATCACCATACATTACATCATTAGTTTTTGATACAGTGTTCCATGACTCATTGCGCATAACACCCAGTGCTCCGTGCAGTACATGCCCTCCTTAATACCCATCACCAGGCTAACCCATCCCCCCACCCCCTTCCCTCTGGCACCCTCAGTTTGTTTCTCAGAGTCCATAGTCTCCAATGGTTCGTCTCCCCCTCCGATTTCTGCCCCCTCATTTTTCCCTTCCTGCTATCTTCTTCTTCTTCTTCTTTTTTTTAACATATAATGTATTATTTGTTTCAGAGGTACAGGTCTGTGATTCAACAGTCTTGCACAATTCACAGCGCTCACCATAGCACATACCCTCCCCAATGTCTATCACCAGCCACCCCATCCCTCCCACCCCCCACCACTCCAGCAACCCTCAGTTTGTTTCCTGAGATTAAGAATTCCTCACGCCAATGGAATATTATGCAGCCATAAAAAGGAATGAAATTTTGCCATTTGCAATGACGTGGATGAAACTGGAGGGTATTATCCTGAGCGAAATAAGTCAATCAGAGAAAGACATGTATCATATGACCTCACTGATACCAATACATATCTTATAGAGTTCCTATGAAATGAAATAAGGGACTTTGTAAATTGAATAACTTATGTCCGCCTCATCTTTAGGAGCTTAAAAATATCTTTTTCCACACCTACAGAATTAAAATAAAATATTTTTTCTTTTTCTTTCTTTTTTTTAAATGAAATATTTTTCACTGAATAAATTATTTTGTACAAATTCTGGTACCATGTCTAACTCTCTCAAAAGGTACTAGTATACAATCAAGTCATTAATAAAACTTTCTTGCAAAATATATTCTATTCTATACAGTTTAAATTTGGCAGCATTTCTCCAGTGTGTTCCCCAGAAAGTAGATAGTCTCATGAAATCTCCCTTATAAAGGTTTTCGTAATTTCATACATTTGGCATATGCTATACTTTATCCTATTCCCCTTTCGAGAAGCCCTCTAGTCAGAGAAGTTAATTTTATTTAAGCCTGTGTTTTTCTACTTTATTTGGCCATGGAAGGTCCTAGTATAACTTTTTCTGAGACAATGGTTTCTCCTCACCCTATTTTTTCATAGTTAAGGGAGTCATTCAGCTGACTCAATAGATATTTATTAAGCATCAACCATGTATCAGGAACTGTCTCAAGACTGGGATACAGCAATACACACAACAGATAATTTTTCTGCTGTCTTGGAGCTCATGTTCTAAAGCAGAGAAAAAGGCAATAAACAAATAATATATGTTAGCTAGTGATGGATGCTGTGAAGGAAGGATAAAGATATATAGAGTTAGGGGGGTAGGACATTATTTTGTATGGAATGGTCAATGAAACCTTCTCACCTAGTGTCTGATTTGAGCACAGAACTTGAGGACGTGATAGAGAAACCCAACTAGACATTTTGAGGGAGCATTTTCTAGGCAAAGGAAAATATGATTGCAATGAGGTGGGGGGTGGTACTTGGAATATTTGAGGAATATTCAGGAGTCTAGTGTTAACTGGATCATAATTCATAGGAGAATGATAGATGAAATTAGAGAATTTGTGCAGTAGGTTGGAGGAGATGATTTGGGTCTTGTATACTGTGGTTAAGACTTTGGGTCTCATTCTGAGTGATTTCAGAAGCTAATGGATGGTTTTCAACAAAGTTTTGACATGATCTAATTTATGTTTCTTTTTTCCTTAAGATTTTATTTATTTATTTGAGAGAGAGAGAATGAGCATGAGCTGGGGGAAGGGCAGAAGGTGAAGGAGAGGGAGAAGCAGACTCCGGGCTGAGCAGGGAGCCTGATGTGGGGCTCAATCCCAGGACACTGGGATCATGACTTGAGCTGAAGGCAGACACTTAACTGACTGAGCCACCCAGGTCCCCCTGACATGATTTAAGTTATGTTTTATAAAGATTGTTGAATACTGTATTGAGAAGAGACTGTAAGAGTGGCATGGCTAGAAACATAGAGACTGTGGTGCCTGGGTGGCTCAGTTTGTTAGGTGTCTGATTCTTGATTTCAGCTCAGGTCATGATCTCAGGGTCGTGAGATTGCGCCCTGCATTGGGCTCTGCACTCAGTGCACAGAGTCTGCTTGGGAGTCTCTGTCTCCCTCTACCCCTCCCCCCACTCACGCGCGCGCTCTCTCTCTCTCTCTCTCTCTCTCTCTCAAATAAATAAATAAAATCTTAAAAAAAAGAAACACAGAGACTCATTTAGAAGCCCATTTTAGTCGTATAGGTGACAGATGATAGTGATTTCAACTATGGTGTTAGAAGTTTTAAGAAATAGTTGGTTAAGAATATATGTTGAAGCTAGGACTTACGGGATTTACTGATGGATTGAATGTGGAGTGTGAGAGAAAAGAGAGGAGCCTGTGATGACAGTAAGCTCTATGGCATAAACAACCGAAATCATGGAGGTGCCCTTTTCTGAAATGAAGAACATTGGGGGAAGTATAGATTTTGGGGGTGGACAAGGAACCAAGAGTTTGCATTTGGGCATGCTAAATTTAAGGTGTTTTTCAGGCATTCAAGTGAACATGTGAAATAAGCATTGGATATATGAGTCTGCAGTTTAAGAGAGAGAACAGTGATAGAGATTAAAATTAGAGTCATTAACATATAGATGATATCTAAAGCCATTGAATGAGATTACCTAGATGGTAAGTGTCAATAGAGGATGGAAGCAGAGTGTTGAAGACAGCCCTGGGACATACCAGTGATTCAAGGTTAGAAAGATAAATACGTACCAGTGGGAGAGGAGGAGAATGAAAGGCAAATGGTATCCTAAGAGTCAAGTGAAGAAAGTGTTTCAAAACCATACTGGCCATTAGCTTTGACAACATGGAGATCACTGATGACATTAACAAAAGCAATTATAGTTTCAGGCATGTGTGTCAAGAAATATTGAAAAGGGAAGAAGTGGATTCAGGAAGTAGAGGCAACTTTTTAAAAAAGATTTCATGTAAAGGGAGCAGACAAGTGAAGATACAGCTGGAGGGAGCTATGGTGTCAAGGTTGTTTTTTTTTTTTTTTTTTCAAGTTGATAGATACTAATGCATAGCTGTAAGTGGATGGGAAGAATTTGATAGTGTAATACATTGATGATGCAGGAAAAAGAAGGGGAAATTGCACCTTAAACAGGTGAGAAATTCACTTTAAATAGGTGAGAAAGGATGATGCAATGCAAAAATGGTTGGGTTGGTATCAGATGGAATTCATATTCCCATTTAAGGTATGTATTTGATTGAGGGATGCATTCATTCATTTAACAAATATTTAATACATGTCTATGTCTTAGAAACTTTTTCTAAAATTGGGAATAAAATGGTGACAATAGTTACACATTCCTGCATTTTATTTTTAGTGAGATATGAGAGAATAAAAGAAATAAATACATAAATTACATAGTATGGTATATTGTCCAAGGACATGAATAAGTTCTAACTTAAAATACTCTCTGAATGTATAAATAAATTAATTTGTAGGCATATATTTTGTTATGACCATATTGTAATCTAATTTTTTGCAATGATCATATTAATTCAATAGAGAAAAAAAAGTTATAGTAAGCAGCGAGGGACGTGCCCAGTCAACATTCAATCCATAGCTGGCTTATACTTACAAATGGCCTCCTTTGTCCCCAATTTCCTTATATCACAGGACACTGCTGGAATCTCAGAGAGAAGTGGAAGCCTTGTATCTTTTGAGTTCAGAGTTGAAATAAAGGAAGAATCTGTGAAAAGTAGGAACAGTTTAGGAGACCTGTGGACAGACTTTCAAAAAAGCAAATGTGAAGTTTCAACCTGACTAGCTGTTTAAGGTTTTGTTTTTTCTTCACTTTTTAATAAATAAAGATTTGTTTGGCTTAAAAATGAAAATAGTTTATGTGTACATCTGTGAGGTCAGAACACCCAGCAAAATCTAGGAAAATTGAGAATCCTACATATTGGAACAGAAATACCTTTAAGTCAGGGGCCAACATCTTGGATTTTGTACCCAGCTCTGCTATTATCTATATATGTGACATTTTACAAATTCTTAAATTTGTACAGATTCTCTTAAATTCATTGAGCTTTAATTTTCCTATCTACAGAATGTAGGTAAAAGTACCTGCCTTATCTAACTGAAAAGGCTGTTAAATTTTCTTAACCACCAAAGTCAGTATGTTATACACATTTCAAAAAATATGAGGAAATTGAGTCTTAGGTCAAACAACTTGTCTAAGAGCACATAGCACATACATTAAGACAGATGTTGAACCCAGGCTTCTCTGAGTCTAAGCTGTTTTCATGTTCTGCAGTACCAGCAAGCATGAGCCTTCAACTGAGATCAAGAGGACATGACAAGGCTTGGTAAATACCTTTCGTTCTCATGTCTGCTTTCATATTCACTGTTGGTTGGTGTTAGAAGAGGGCTAAAAAACATCTCTTCAAACAATCTAACCATGTGGCCAATATTTCATTCTCCTCTGGAAACTGCCTTGCCTTGAATTGCTTCATTCACCAGCTTTGTAGGCCACATATGACAGGGGACTAACATCCAGTGGTTGATTACCAATTTCCCCTAAGCTAAATGGAAGAGCTGAGTAATAAGTATTTTCGATACTCTTTTTCTATTATGCAAACATCTCCGAGTTAGGCAGGGTATAAGTTAGGGCATTGTGGTGCACTTAAAGTTTGCAACATGCATTTACAAATTAGCTTGCTGCCAAAGTCGCTTGTGTTCGTAACACATCTAATGCTCTTCTGCTCAGCAGCAGTGTTACAGATGAACTTGAAAGACAGAAGTAGTATTTTTATGCAAATATGCCATAAAATGTCTTTGCTAAATAAGCAGTTCTTTCTGTAGCAAGGTTTATTTGCAGTGATACAATTTAGAAGCGTCCCCAATGACAACCTTTTTTTTTTTTTTTTTAAAGATTTTATTTATTTATTTGAGACAGAGAGAATGAGAGAGAGAGAGCACATGAGAGGGGGGAGGGTCAGAGGGAGAAGCAGGCTCCCCGCCGAGCAGGGAGCCCGATGCGGGACTCGATCCAGGGACTCCAGGATCATGACCTGAGCCGAAGGCAGTCGCTCAACCAACTGAGCCACCCAGGCGCCCCCCCAATGACAACCTTTTGAGCCATATTAGTTAAATGCTAGAACATCTACAGTGTTAAATCCACAGCAATATATTATAATGGGAAAAATGCCTGAGCAGCAGGGAGCCTTTAATACAGAACTCCATAGGCCACTTAAATAGTGTAATCTGGCTTTCAAGTGGAGCATTCTAAAGAATCTCTATGAACCTTGCTTTGGGGTTTCAGAGAATCGGAATGATATTGAGGACAAAGCTCTGTTCTGGATCTACCTGTCACTGAAACACTCATGCTGCTCTTCTACAAAGCCAGGTGGGATCATTTTTCTAGGAAACATCAATTACTTCTGCTTTTGCTCAGAAATGGCACAGTTATTTTTAGATATATTTTCCACTGGTCTACAAAGTATTACAATTGCCATAACATATTGGGTAGTATCATAATGGTGTAAGGATTCCTGAGCAAAATATGCCTCCCCGGGATATTGCCTAACTTATCTTTGAAAAATAGCAGGATTACATATTTTATAACTCCCTGTACAACTAGCAAGGTGTCAATGTGGATGGAAAATGAATGAGTTAGAATTTTATAGAATTCTTAATTCTGTAAATTACAGAATACTTAAATTCACAGGTATTTTGTCTCTGAGGGTCAGTTTGTGAAATTTATGGTTTGAAATAGCGTTATCTGAATAAAATGAACCAGGTTTTTCTAGGGGCTAATCAAATCCTGGATAGTAAATGAGCTACCTTTGGAGGTTGCATTAACACAGCAGTAGCTTAATAAATTATACTCTGCTGATTTGACTTCCACTGGTACTTAATTTACAACTGGAGATGATCCTGGTGTATGGAGAATCTAGCTAATCATGAACTAGTTACTTGTTCTGATGAAGTGCATATATCCAGCCAAGATGTTTGAAATATAGTTTTGTAAAAAATGTAAACAAATGGAGACTTCTGAGGGTAAACTTCTTGACTGAAGAATTAATACCTAAATCATGACTTCTTTCTCTTTCTTGGAATCTCTTCAATTTATCTTCCATGATAATATCTGTAATATATGGAAAATGAATTGTGTCATTATAGTCTCTTAAGGAAAAATTTCCCCAATTGCTCCCTCAGCTGTCTTCAACCTGCTGGATACAATTTCAAACCAGATATTATAAAAAGGAAGTAAAGTACTTTGGTTTTTTATTTAAATAAAAACTATATTATAAATTAAAGTCTTTGAAAATTCATCTATCCATCTATACATGCAGTCATCCACCAATCTGTTAATCAATTTGTTTTATTCTTTTAATCAATAAAGACTTCTCACTTTAATATTTTTGTAGTTTCTGAGGCTTTGAAAAATTCAAACCAGTAGAGATATAGACCATAAAAACTATTAAATCTCATCTTAGCAGAGATATTTGCTAATGATTACTTGCCTCAGTCAGCTAGACTTGGTCAGCTCTCTCTGCTGGGTGTCTGGCTAAGGTACACATTAAATTACTGTTCTATCCTAAAGATTGTTGTTGGCAAGCTCATGTAGGTAATCTACATTCATATTGTGGCTGAATATACTCTATCTAACCTTTGGATAAACAGAAGATTTTGGTTTCCAATCCTGTCAGTGTTTTAGCTGTTAAATACACACATATCATCTCTTTCTGAAGACTGTAGAATTTATGTTCAGAATTGAACACCAACAAACAAGGATGGAGTTTTCATGTCAAACTAAAAATATCACGTATACATTTTGGCAGGGAAATGGTGACATTTAAATCACTTTTTATTAGTCTTTTTAATAGGACCTTCTAACCTTTATCCCTAGCTCAATCTGACCTCCTTGGTGTCTCTATTTTTAATGGAAAAGCCACTATAATAAATGCAAAATTAATTCTAATTCTCCAAATTAAGTTGTGAAATGTATTTAATTAAGGGTATGGATGCAATTCACTAAATCAATTCACTTATTTACTTCAGTTCACTGAGTGGGGTATATTGAAGTCTTTTTAGTTTTATTTAAGTGCATCAGGATGCATGAGTCAAAGGTCTGAATCCAAGATTCTAAAGATGGTGCCAGGAGAAAGCAAATGTTGATACCAATTGCTCTTTAATTTCAGGAGACAGTTTTCCTTTCAGCTGATGTGAGACAGCTCATGTTCACTAATGGGTCTGGCTTAGACCTTTCAAGAGATGTTTATTATCATAGTCTGGACTTAGGAAATGATTCGAGACACTTGATTTCATTGCTCCATCTAGTTCTCATGCTGCAGAGTAACATCTGATCATTTGATGTGGTCATCTCAGGCAAAGGACAGATATAGTGGAAGAAAAAGATTTTATCTCATCTACCCATGTGATATGTGAACTTCAAGAATACATTTTATTCTTCATGCTATCATTCTGAATTGTGTTCCTTCACTCTGAAGGAACCTTACAAAAGCTTTTAAGTTTAGGTGATCTGAGGGGGAAATATTCCTCAATTTTCAAATTGGTTGAACAACTGAATGGGAATCATGGAAGTGTTTTGAATATGTTATATGTTTTTTATTAAGGGAAATTATACAGAGATGTAGATGTTACAAGCCAGCTGGTATAGTGTGGAATAGTGGCATTCTGTGTTCGGCATGGATCTTCATGTGTCAGTTTATGGCAAAACTCCAGGGTATCCACCAAAGATGTTTAACAATTCACTGCTTCTGGAGGCCAAATAATTTTCCAGAGGATTAGTACCTCAAACATCTTAAATTGGTGACTCAGGCTATTTAGAGATGCAGATCTTATTTCTTTTAGCTGTTGATTTTCAAAGACATGTTCTTTCTGGCTCTGGATAATTCTTCAATAACAAGAAAAACTAACATGTATGGAAGGCTTATGGAAGACTTACACATAATCTTTAAAAAGTTGGGCCATTTAGAAACATGATCATTTGCATTTTTTCTTTTTTGAAAGCTTAACCCTAATTTATTGTTCATCAGAGAGAAGGGCTTTGGGATTTAAAATTTTTTTCTTTTCCTTGAAAACTGAAACACACTCCTGTTTTTAGCATATAGCTTCTAAGGTAATGAGGAACACACTAGTACATTAAAGCAAATGTGTGTCAAATCTCCAGGGAAAACAGATGTCACGTGTGCAGTATTTCCTCCAGACATCTGAAATCCAGCATCATTGTTCTTTCAATCTGCTTTCTAAGTAAATGAAACAATGGGGAGTATACATAAATCCTTCTATATTAGAATTTAAGAAATATTTCAACTGGAGAAGTTCAAAGTTTGCATTTGATAAATCAGGATATAAAGAGCTTAAAATTAGGGAACCCAGAATTGGAAATCTGTATATTCCCACTGGTTTATTTTACAACTGTACATTTTCCACTGATTTTCATAATCTGTGATGAAGTATACCCTGAAACTCATCTCTAAGTAAAGTTCATCATTTTTTGAACATTTTAAACAATATGCTTGAATGTCAAAGATCATAAACTTAATGTGGTTTTCCTAATCTTAAGTAAGATTTATTTGTTGTTATAAATTAAGAAGACTTGGCAGTCAGCAATATATTTGGACCTTTGTAAAATACAGACTTAAGAAAATCATTCATACTGTATTAACAAAAGTGTGTTCATGTCTGTGGTGTGTGTGTGTATGTGTGTGTGTGTGTGTGTTCAGTGATTTCTGTGTGTGTTGGATAGAAAAAATACGTAAATGACCACATAAAGGTAGATTCACACCTTCTCTAGCCTCATTTAACTTTAGACATTGAAAACTTTAAACTTATAGGCTCGTTTCTGTCCAGTTTTGAGCTAAAGGGAACTAACACGGGAAAAGAAATATAAACTACATCTTTGCCGGTGGGGAAACTTGGCACTAGCCTTATTGTTCTGAGTCAGTCTGATACTTGGACTGGCTTGGGCTTGAGCAGTCCACTGCCTACAAAGCTGCAGCCATATCTCCTGATCTAATTGTGCCTTCTCATGACTGTGTTTACTTTTCCAGTGTCATTCAGCTCTATTTGCTGGAACAGGGTTCTGCCACAAGCCCCAGACCCCTTGGCCAAATGCTTACCTGTTTGATAGCTCTTGCCATTTCTCTACCAGTCTCTCCTGCAAAGCATGAGCTCTGGCATGCTTCCCGGCTGTGTAGATTCCTGTACAAAAACACCAGTCAGGATTACTTCTGAGATTGTGATGCTCTCTTAGGCATACCGTTTTGGTTCCTTGATGGCTGGACCTACAGCTAAATTAATTTTCTTAGGCTTGGCTCAACACAATTCCAGTTTACTT